AAGATTTAAACACATATATTAAATTATGTAGAGACATTAATGAACAAGGGCAAGTCTTGACAGCTGCAGTACAACATGCTTTAGATGCCAGGCCAAAAACATGCTACAATTGTGAACAAACAGGACATTTTAGAAGGAGTTGCCCCATAGGAGGAGGGTTTAACAAAACTGGATATGATCAATGGGGTAGAATACCGGGTATTTGCCCACAATGCCATAGAGGGAGACATTGGGCTAATGACATCTGTGCCCCCGCCAGAGCAGTACTAACTCCAGAGATGGGAGTTCAAATCATTCCCACAGGGGTAAAAGGACCTCTTCCCCGAGGAACAGTAGGCTTATTATTGGGACGCAGTTCTTCTACTCTAAAAGGACTTATGATAAGTCCTGGGGTAATTGATCCTGATTAAGAAGGTGAAATAAAAATTATAGCCAGTTCTCCAAGGGGTATATCAGTAATTTCACCAGGAGATGGAATAGCACAGTTATTAATAATACCCAGCCTACATGATAAATTTTCCAGCTGTACTATAGAAAGAGGTTCCAGGAGGTTAGGCTCCACAGGTGTAGATTGGGCTATGCTGTCTTTAAATTTAGACTCTCGCCCAATGCTAAAACTAAATATTCAAGGACATGAATTTAATGGGCTACTGGATACAGGTGCAGACCTTAGCATCATATCTTGTCAAGAATGGCCAAAACATTGGCTGTTACAACAAGCCACTCAAACACTTCGAGGCCTAGGAGTGGTGACTAATCCCATAGAAGTGCAATGGTATTAGATTGGAAGGATCCTGAAGGATGTGAAGGAACTATACAGCCATATGTATTGGATCATCTTCCTATAAATTTATGGGGACGAGATGTCCTAGATCAATTAGGTTTGACATTAACAAATAATACCAATCCAAATGCGCCCACTATTATGGCTAGACAAGGTTTTAGGAAAGGAAAAGTATTAGGAGAAAAAGGACAAAGTATAGTGGTACCAATACAAATAGATCAAGAAATAGGTAGACATGGATTGGGTTTTCAGGAGGGGTAACTGAGACAATAAAAATTACCTGGAAATCAGAAAGACCAGTATGGGTTCCTCAGTGGCCCCTGACTAAAGAAAAGATACAAACAGCCCATGACCTGGTCAAACAACAATTAGCGGAAGGACATATACAACCTTTGATATCTCCCCATAATACTCCCATTTTTGTCATCAAAAAGAAATCTGGTAAATGGAGATTATTGCAAGATTTAAGAGCCATTAATAATGAGATGGTTATTATGGGACCTGCTCAATCGGGGATTCCCCAATTGTCTGCTTTGCCAAAAACCTGGTATGTTTTGGTTATAGATATTAAAGATTGTTTTTTTTCAATTCCAATTCATCCTGAGGATAGTCCACGTTTTACATTTACTATCCCTGCACTGAATCATGAAGGTCCCGATCAGAGATATGAATGGAAAGTACTCCCTCAAGGGATAGTTAACAGCCCAACTATGTGTCAAATTTATGTTAACAAAGCAATTCAGCCACTTAGAAACCAAAATCCTGAACTACAAATATTTCACTATAAGGACAATGTATTATTAGCACTCAAAGATAAAAACACATTGCTAGAATGTTATGCCACACTTACAAACTTATTAAAAAATTATAATCTAGAAATAGCAATAGATAAAGTACTATTAAATTTTCCAATTAATTATTTAGGAGTTCTATTATCCTCAACCATGGTCCGTCCACCAAAAATTCAAATACGAGTAGATCAACTCAAATCACTTAATGGCTTTCAAAAGTTATTAGGAGACATAAATTGTATAAGGCCTTATCTAGGCATACCAACAGGAGAGTTGGGACCTTTATGTGATTTCCTAAAAGGTCCATCAGATCCAAATTCACCCCGCATGTTAACGCCTGAAGCAAGAAAGACATTAAAAAATCATTGAAACATATATGGAAAATATGCATTTGGATAGAATTGATATAAGTTTGCCTTTATTATTTATTGTACTACCAACAAAAAATGTTCCTACAGGAGTATTTTGGCAAGAAGGTCCATTATTATGGATACATTTATCTTATTCTCCTAACCCTATTCTTACTAGGTATCCTGAGGCTGTAGGACAATTGATACTCAAAGGAATAAAAGCAGCAAAGTGAGTATTTGGAATTTCTCCCAATAAAATTATTACTCCATATACAATGGATCAAATTGATGAGTTAGCTAATGAGTTAAATACTTGGGCAATAATCATGTGCAAATCTAATGTTTCATTTGATAACCACTTACCATCTAATCCTTTGTTGTCTTTTTGGTCTTCACATCCTGTAGTTTTTCCAAAAATGACAAGAAAAACACCTATTATGAATGCTCCAAATATATTCACTGATGGGTCAAATAATGGTACAGCAGCTGTAGTTACCCCTGATCAAACTTTTACATTTTTAGTACCCAAACAATCAGCTCAAAAGGTAGAGCTTATTGCAGTATTACAAGCTTTTGTGATGTTTATTTTTATTTTTTTTAACTTTTAATATTTATTTTTTAGTTATCGGCGGGCACAACATCTTTGTTTGTATGTGGTGCTGAGGATCGAACCCGGGCCGCACGCATGCCACGCGAGCGCGCTACCGCTTGAGCCACATCCCCAGCCCTTTTGTGATGTTTAAAGATTCTGTATTTAATTTATTTTCTGATAGTCAGTATATAGTTAATGCTATAGTATCCCTTGAAGATGCCGGTAGGATTTCCCCTTCCTCTACTGTTTTCTCTTTGTTTTCCACTATACAAAGTCTAATCTGGGACAGACAGAAAAGATCCAATCTTTATAGGACATGTCAGGGCACATACAGGATTGCCTGGAGCCCTTAGTTTGGGCAATGATTTAGCAGATAAAACTACACATGACATACATATTTTTTTCTATGCTAGAAGAAGCTCCAAATTTTCATAAATCCTTCCATGTCAATGCAAATACTTTTAAAAAGCATTTTAAAATAACTAAGGAACAAGCTAGACAAATAATAAAACAATGTCAAAATTGTGTGACCTTTTTACCACAAGTTAATCTTGGAGTCAATCCTAGAGGACTGATACCTAACCATATTTGGCAGATGACGGGTAAGGACCATATGTAGTATTGGACAACCTAAGACAGGCAGGGTCCCTAAGCCACATGCTTGTTGTTTAATTAAACAGAAGTGGGGAGATGTTGAGAGCCACAGCTGAGTCGGGATGGAGCCTAGCATTTTGCCAGAAGGAGTGCACGAGCCATTAAGATGATGATAATTAAGTTAAGCTGTGTATAATTGCTGTGACTGGATGATGCTGGATTGAAACAGGCTGTGTATTCAGTTGTATATAGACTCCTGCTGCCTTGGCCCCTGCTACTTTGGAATTCCTGTTGAGTTCTCGTGGAGCCCTGTTGAGGGCGGAGAGAGTTCCCAGGGAGAGTGCGTGGAGTGTGGTGAGAGTTTGGGCAATAAAGTAGTTCCTGTTTGAACCTACAAGTGCCTCGTGGCGGCTCGATTATTTTGTGCCCAGCCAGACTGCGGCAATTCATGAAGACCAAAAATTATTGTTTTAGCAATAGGAAGTAGACATATATACAAAGACATAATCAAGGTAAAAAATGTCAACCCCTGCATTCTAGGTGAAAGTTGTATGGTGTGCATTGTAGTATTATTTTTTTTTCAAGTTTTCTATGGGTCTGAACATTCTCAAAATTAAAAGTGGGAGCTGGGAGTGGTAGTGCATGCTTGTAAGCTCAGTGTCTCAGGAGACTGAGGCAGGAGGATCGTAAGTTTAAAGCCAGCCTCAGCAATTTGGCGAGGCTCTGTCTCAAAATAAAACATAAAAAAGGGCTAGGGGATGTGGCTCAGTGGTTAAGCACCCCTGGGTTCAATCCCTGGTACCAAAACAAAACAACAACAAAAAATGAAAAGTGGGAAAAATAGAAAAGATTGCTCTAGCTACTTGCAGATAGCAAGCTGAAGGTAGGATAGGTTGGGACAGTGATCAAGGGGCTGCTGCCCACACTCCGTATCTCCAGCTGGAGGTACCTCCTGTCATCAGCACCCCTGGCACATGTTAGGCCACTGTCACTAAGAGGAGGGTCCTGCCTGGATCAAAGGACCTCTACCTGTGTCACTGTTAAGGCCGTCCCCCTATAGACCTCTCCCAGTGATCTAATCCAGGTGGGAGATGGGCACAGATCTGGGGAGAAGCTTCCAGCCACAGGACACTAGATGTGAAGCAAAAAAAAAAAAAAAAAAAAAGAGGGGGTAGCCCCTGGCACCCTTAGGTGGAAGGAGTGAATAAATTAATGATTTTCTCTCACCTCTTCTTCTTAGTATTGGAAGACAGCCCAGAAAGACTCCAAAGTGAGCAGTACTGCTGGACTTTTTGGATGCAAAAATCCAGAAATCAGGGCCCAGAATGAGGCCAGTGGTGGGGGTCTCACGCTCCCTAGGCCCTCACTACTCCCAGTCCACAGAAGATTCGCGTGTTGAAGATACTCCCCACCCGCGGTGGACCACGCCCACTCCCTCCAGGCCACGCCCCACACTCTCCACAGACCGCACCCCTTGATCACATACTCAGTTCATGGTAGTCTCCTGACCGTGTCGCCCCTCGCCAAGGACTCCTCGCAGTGCCACACCTTGATCCCCAGCTCCCACAGGGGCAGCCCCAAGATTCCGCCCCTGTGCGGACCCCCCATCCCGGTCCGCTGCGCAAGCGCCTGTGGGGATCCCGAGGCCTTCAGGCCGTCCCAGAGACCGCCGCACTAGCCCGGCAAGGACTGGCCAGTGGGCCACGGGCCGGAAGTGTGGCCTGCCCTGCCGCTCTAGGGCTGGGAAGACCGAGGTCTCGGTGGTTCCAGACCCTGGCTGGTTCCCTGGGGACTAGGAGCGGATGTAGGAAGGTGAACCCCACGCTCTTCCCCTCCTCCTTTCCTGGAGGTGCAGTCCTGAAAAGATCCGGCGGTGACCTAAGGTATCTACAGGGGTGGGACTTAGAGTTCCGTGCTGTTGGGCACCCTTTGGAGGCCGGTACGTTGGCGCCTTGGTCGAAAGAGTAGGTAAGGCGCCGGGTGCGCGCCGAGGAGCGTGGAGTGCCGGAGGACGCGGCCTCGGTCTTCTCAGGAAGGAAGGTTGAGGTTCCCCAAGGAGGAATTCTGGCCCCTTTTCCTCCGAGCCAAGCCCCCTTCCTGGATGACCGTGGTCCTGGACAGCGGGGGGTGTTCCAAGGTGGAGGTGAAGGATGAAGACCTACGCGGAGGAGGCGCCCCCGGCCGGAGCCGAGGAGGTGAGGCCAAGGCGCGTAACCTCGGCGACTGCGAGGCAAGGAGCCCGCATCTGGCATGGCGCGCCTTCCCTGGCTTCTCTGAAGCCCGCGTTAAGTGGTCAGCGAGCAGCCGGAGGAGGCGGCGGGCGGGGGGGGGGTCGTTTTTGGTATTGGGGATTGAACCTACAGACGCTTTAGCATTGAGCTCCATCCCAGTCCTTTTTATTTATTTGGAGACAGGGTCTTGCTAAATTCCTGAGGCTGGCCTTGAACTTGCGGTTCTGCGATTACAGGTGGGGTTTTAAGGGGCATGCCAGCACAGGGGAGTAAGGGTAGCCTTTACACAGCGGACAAGTCTGACGCTGGTCCTGAGTCGGCTGGAGAGTCGGTGGGATTTTTCTAGGCTCAGGGACTTGGCAAGAAAGTGCAGTGGCCTGAGTCTTGAATACTGCTGGCCTAGAGTTCAGGATCCTTCAGAGGCAAAGAGAGAGGATTGAGAGGATAGGAGGGATTGGTTGGGCTTGGAAAAAAGAACCAGAAACGAGTGAAGAAAGATCAATCCAAAAAAAGAGGTTTTGTTTTTTCACTCAAAATAAAACCTGTGAAACAAGGAGAATAGATAGGACAAAATAGTCTGGTTGGACATGGTTAGCCCTTCATCTGATGAAGAGGGAGTGGGTAAAATTTAAGAAGCAAGACAAACTTAAAACTACTGGGCATGGGCTGTGGCTGTGGCTCAGTGGCAGAGCGCTTGCCTAGCACGTGTGAGGCACTGGGTTGTATCCTCAGCACCACATACAGATGAATAAATAAAGGCATTGTGTTCATCTATAACTGAAAAAAAAAATTAAACAAACAAACTGCTGGCATGTTTGAAAACAGCCAGAGTCAGAGTTTGATGAATGATCTCATGGATCATTAATATTAGTCTTCTGCAAGATTGGAAGAGTAGTGAAGGGTAGTCCTGAAGCATGTGGGTTTTAAGCCTGACTGCCTGCTGTCCGGTTTGGGCAAAATGTTTAATTACTGGGTGTCCCATTTTTCTCATCAGCAAAGTAAGGATATTAATGTTAATAGCATTAATGTTTCTGAGGTACAGATGTTTTGTACTCATTTAATTATTTCAACTCTCCAGTCTTTATTGAGTGGGACCACATAACTAGCCTTTCAAATGTGAGACAGCCATGTGCACCACTTCCTTCAGTCCTCCAGCCCTCTCAGACCCTGCTACAGCAGTCTCCAGGAGCTTCATAGTGGCAAGGCCATAAAAAGGAAGTCTCTGAGTCCCTGAATCACTACAGCACAGAGCCACCCCCCAACACTACCCAGCTTGTGCTGGATTTTACAGGAAAAGTAAATTAAAGCATTTACAGTTTTTTTTTTAATTTTATTTATTACTGCAGCCCAATCTAGCCTATTGCAGTTACCATATTTCATTAATTCTAATGTACACATTTTTATTTCTTAATATCTGAAATTGTGACATGTTACCATCAGTTGCTTCTTGTCATCACTGTCAGCCAAGATTAAAATCAAGTTCTTCCAGCATTTATTTCTGCATACTACTTGGGAACACCACCATCTATAATTCTTTTAATTAAGTCTATACTTTTTAAAAAATATTTTTCAAGTTGTTGATGGACCTTTATTTTTTTCATTTATTTATGTGTAGTGCTGAGAATTGAATCCAGTGCCTCACATATGTGAGGCAAGCGCTCTGCCACTGAGCCACAACCCCAGCCCGTAAATTCTCTACTTTAAAGACAAGTTTAATTAGGGATAATTCTGATATAATAAAACACATCCATGGTGAGGACACAACTCAATGACTGTTAGTTAAGTTGAAACGATCCTAGGTGCACCCCTATAATCCCAGCAGCTCAGGAGGCTGAGGCAGGAGGATCTCAAGTTCAAAGCCAGCATCAGCAATTTCGTGAGGTCCTAAGCAACTCAGCAAGACCTTGTCTCTAAATAAAATATAAAAAAGGGCTAAAGATGTGGCTCAGTGATTAAATGCCCCTAGGTTCAATCCAGTACCAAAACAAAAAACAGAAACAAACAAACAAAACCCCACAAAACAAAAACCTGATCCTAGTTTGAGGGCACTTCTGCCAACCCCTTGCATCTAGCCTGGGTCTACCTCTATTCTACCCACTTCCTGTCTGAAGATTTGCTTTCAATAGAAACTTCATGGAGCTGGAATCATGACAGTACAGATGTACTGCACTCCATATATGCATTCAACCTGTACGACTTCATTTTAGTATTTATTGTAATACGTTTTCTAGCAACAACTTCACTTCATCTTTATTCATCTAGGAATGTATTTATTTTCCCTTCAATTTTGAAAAATAGTTTGAATATGGAATTTTTGGCAGTTTTCCCTTTCTTTGATCATGTCATTCTACTGTCTTACCTCCTCCATAGCTTTAGGTATGTTGTTAATCCTGTTGTCATCAATAATCAGTTGTTAATCCTGTGTCATCCCATTGTGATGAGTAACTCCTCCCCTCAAGGAGTGGTTTTCCTGTCAGGACAGAGTTTCTTAAATCTACAGAGAGTGTGTTTCGTGGGGGGTGTGAGGTATCATTCGCATAGAGCATGAGTTGACAGTGGGAAGTCAGTTTTGGGAGGAGTGATTCTTCTCCTGTACAGGCAGCACCTTGGAAGAGGGCTCTGCATTTCATTTTCTTGCACCTGCTCAGATCAAGTCAATCTGACCTACACTTAGAGTCAAGTTGAAACCTTGACATGCACATGCAGGTCACTTCAGGCTGGCTGCCTGCCTCTCCTCCTGGACACCAGCCAGTCACTACTCTGTAATGGGAGGAAGGCACAATCCTGACCTGCTCAACCACTAGCAGTTGTTTGCTGAACGCAGGTCACTGAAGGGCCAATTTGCCAAGACACCTTGACCTGATTTGTGAATGTGTGATTTGATTTGTCCACACCATTGTTTCTAGATACAATCTTCCTAACTGCATTCTCCAAATGCAACTATATTATTCCTGTAAATAGATCTCCTGAATGAATTCAGTGAATAGATTCTTCTAAAAAATGGGACCATGTTCCTTTTTAACACTTGAAAGAACAATTCACCAAATCCACTCATGTCACATTCAACTGGCAAAGAAACATTTGGAATGAGTTTGAGACTAGAAAGCTGCCAATGTTGATTGCTGTTCTGCTGCAAGGGGAGGCCAGATGGACTGTTCAACACCACTGAGAAACTTCAACTTTTATTGCTTTTGAAATAATGTATCTTTATCAAAGCTTGGTAACCTGTTGCTAAATCTTTTCCATCCCCATGGGGATGGATACAATGTTAAAGTCACCATAGTACCATTGTCATGCTGACTTGCCCCATCATCATCTGAACTTTGTCTCAGAAGCATTCAGAATTTGGTTTTATGAGAGCATTTAACCTGCAATTTATGTTATTAATTTTACTGCTTTTCACAGTTCCCATTACACTAAGCAATGAACTCAGGAGAACACACCTCCTTCATTGCTGAGTAGAATCCCCTGGTGTTCGTGTACTGAAGGGTGAAATTCCAGGGAGCAGGAAGCCGCATCCCATTATCAGTAAGGGAAAATGAATGGCATCCCTCTGTGGCACATACTTCAGGTTGCTCTCCCTCCACACACTAGGAGGGTCTTATTTACAAGGTAGCAAATGCCAGGGTTGAGTAGCACAATGGGGCCTTTCAGACTAAGCCACTTGTGTAATAGTTTTCTCTTGCATAGAAAACAGTCATGTAGGGGCTGGGGTTGTGGCTCAGTGGTAGAGCGCTTGCCTAGCATGTGTGAGGCACTGGATTCAAATCTCAGCACCACATACAAATAAATAAGTAAATAAAGGTCCATCAACAACTAAAAAATATTTAAAGAAAAGAAAACAGTCATGTAAGTAGCAGGTAGCATCTGTTTTCTTTGTTTTAGGAGAATTTTTTTTTTCAGACAATTTTTAAAATTTGTTCTTATTAGTTACACAAGATAGTAGAATGTATTTTCACATATTTTTCATATATGGAGTATAACTGTTAAACCATGATGCAAAGAAAAGACCACTGACTCCAATTTTAAATCAAATTAAAGCAAGCTTATATTGTGTACCCAAATAGAGCTGGCCAGTGGCTGTCTCACCCAAGGCTTTGAGCGTGCTAAACAAGCCACTCTATCACTGAGCTATACACCCCCCAGCCCCTTTCCTACCTTCTTAGATAATTCCTTAATCATGTGGGAGGATGCAGATGATTAAGATCCTAAGTCAGCTCCTCCTGAGAGTTGCACACCCCACCATCTGTCCCTGGCCATGCTTTTGCCTTCTCCAGGGTCTGTTTGTGCAGACTCAACTCAGGCTATTGGTTCTGCTGCAGACTGCTCTATCAAATGTTCAGCTGTGTTAGATGTGTATGACTGTAAGTCACACAAAAGTAGCTACTCGTGACTTTTAACCATGACAATTGTTTGAGTTCTCATCCGGAGAGAAATACAAATTAAAACTACAATCAGAGCCAGGCATAGTGGTACACTGCTGTAATCCCAGCAACAAGCTGAGACCAGAGGATCTCAAGTTCCAGTCCAGGCTCTGTAATTTAGAAAGACCTTCAGCAATTTAGTTCTCACTGGACCCTGTCTCAAATTAAAAAATAAAAAAGGGCTGGGATGTAGCTCAGTAGCAATGTGTCCCTGGGTTCAATCCCTAGTACCTCCTCAAAACCCAAACACCTAGTTTCCCCATCAATGGGTGTGGCACTGTTATTTGTCAACACGGGGTGTGGGAAAAGCAACTTTTTGTCCAGCTAGTGGCAGAATTGGGGCAGGGCTCATGGCCAGTTGGGCTCACTTGGGTAGCAAGTCTCAGCATGAATACTGCCAGACACTGCCCCAGCAATTCCCCTTTCCGGAAGTGTTTAGGCATACAAATAAAACGTGTATAGGATTTAAACGTGTCTGTGTTCGTGGAAGATTGCCAGTGACATACATCCTCAGGCCTTTAATTTTTTTTATTCTGGGCTGGGGTTGTGGCTCAGCTGTACAGTGCTCCCCTCGCACGTGCCAGACCCTGGGTTCGATCCTCAGCACCACATAAAGATAAATAAGTAAAATAAAGGTATTGTGACCAACTACAACATATATATATATATATAATTTTTTTATTTTGACACAGGGTCTCCCTGAGTTGTGAAGGCTGTCCTCGAACTTGCCATCCTCTTGCCTTAGCCTCCCGAGTCGCTGTGATTACAGGGGCGCCTCTGCACCCAGCACAAGTTAATTATATTTCAATAAAGCTTATAAACGATTCTAAAAGAGCTGACATCTCATTTTCCAGGTGGCAACGCAGAGGCAGTCTGGAGGACAGGGGGAGGGCCTGCTGACCAGTGTCTGGGCTTCTGATTGCTCCAGAAGGGTTAAGAACCGGCCAGAGCTGGTTCACCTACTCATTGGACCCCAGCTCTCCCGGGAAGGGATACTGTAAGGCAAGGATCTGATGGAGGCTCAGAGGTGTGATCCAAAGGCCAGGGTGGCCCAAGGGAAAGCGAGCCCTCTAAGCCTATGAGCAAGTGCTCAGGTAGCTTACAGCTCCGTGTATGGGGTCTGGGGGCAGGACCACGGGGGTCCGGGTGTGACTCGGGTTATTCACTGTCCTGAGATGCAGGCCAGGGGGCGTGGCCTGGTGCAATGGATGGGGCGGACCCTGGGATGCTGGGTGTGGCCAGAAAGGGAACTTGAACCACGACTAGAATCAGACTTGAGCCGCAGGGGCGTGGCCAGGGGTGGAGAGGGATGCGGGCCTGAAGGGCGTGGCTGGGGGAAGCCACCACTAAGGAAGCACTAAGTGCTGGGCGCTGGGGCGGAGGGCGCAACCTGGGGCGGCGGAGGGTAGGGCTGGACCCGTGGAAAGTGAAGTCCTGGAAGGAGCGCGAGGGGTCGAGGGCGGTGACCCTGAGACGGTGGATGTGGCCAGGGCTGGAGGCATGGCCCTACAGGCCGGTGTGCTGGCAGTCCCGGTAGCGCCCCGGAGGAGAGCAGAGGCGGCCGAGCAGAGTGGGTCTGGCGGTTCTGCCCGTCTGGTCTCCGTGGATCCTTCTGGGGCACCAGTGCTCCCACTGTTCTGTGTGCAGTGGGTGTGCCTGACAGAATCAAGGGTGTAGCAGGCTGGGGGCGAGGTCCTGTCTCCACCAGGATGTCCCATTGCTCCGCACTTAGACTGCCCTCCCTTCCTTGGAACCTTGGCAGGCCACGGAGACGAGTGGGAAAATTGAGGACCTGATACTGACCTTGCCGCCTGCCCAACCGGAGGCGAGGTCCCACCTGCTGAATCTTGCTGTCTTTCCCGTCTCCAGGCTTCCAGCTGCACAGGGCTGCTCCAACCCCTGCTGGCCCACATCTTCTGCCGCCACCGCCACCGCTGGCCTTGGTGAGGCTGCAGTGGGCTTTGGAACCCGAATCCACTGGTTGGCACCAGACCCTCTGTGGAAATCAGGCCCTGCTCTGAGTTACTCCATGAGATATGGAACAGTAGTTTTCAAGCCTTTCCTAGCTCCCAGTTACTCCATTTTGAAAAGCAGCAGTTTGCCATGAGTTACCCACCCCCCCCTTTTTTGAGTTTTTTTATTTTTGTTTATTTTTTTTTTTTTTTTTAAATATTTATTTATTTATTTATTTATAGTTATGGCGGACACAACATCTTTGTTTGTATGTGGTGCTGAGGATCGAACCCGGGCCGCACGCATGCCAGGCGAGCGCGCTACCGCTTGAGCCACATCCCCAGCCCCATATTTTTGTTTATTTTTTAAAGATTTTTTTTAGTTGTAGACACAGTACTTTTATTTTACATATTTATTTTTATGTGGTGCTGAGGAATGAATTCAGTACCTCACATATGCTAGGCAAACACTCTACCACTGAGCCACAACTCCAGCCCTGAGTTACCCATTTAAAAAAATATATTACTTTCTAGTTGTAGCTGGACATAATACGTTTATTTTAATGTGGTGCTGAGGATCAAACCCAGTGCTAGGTGAGTGCTGTATCACTGAGCCCCAACCCCAACCCCTTGAGTTACCCATTTTAAGTGCTAAGTTAGAATGACTCTATACCTTGTTTGTACAGATAACCCCCATCTACCTAGCACTACCATAGGTGCAAACTGATATATAAAAAGAGACCCCCCCCCCCAAGACTGGAAATGGCAACACACTGACCCTATTACTTGATCATTCCTCATGAGCCCTGCCCAGGAAAATTGCCACAGCAAGATTCTCTTACTTTCTTCCCCAGGAACTTCAGCTCCTTTGGTTTCTCCTGTAGGCAAGGACTTCAAGCTGACACTTTGAAACTGCCTGCCTTCCATACCTGTGCCTAGGGTAAGTTCTGACCTCTGGCCCATGACAGATCTGACTATCTGCAGTGATGCTTTTGTATTTTCATCTGCTCCCTGCCCATTTGCTCGGTGAAGTGTCCTGTAATCCGAGGCTGCCTTAATTTAGTCTTTCTGTATTTGTTTAAAGTGTGGTATGTTACTTGCACCTTATAAATGTTAGTAATTAAGACTGTAATAAAATAACCTGTGATCACCTGGCTCATGACTACCAAATGACTGACCCACGAGTATTCAGTGAATTGAAACCTATGAAGGTGTGAGTTTATTGTTATTCAGTAAATTCTGACATTGTAGAAAGACACAAGTGGTGTCTGACCTATGCTGACTGCATAACTAGGTCAAGACAACCTCCTACACCGGGTCGGTTGCTCTGAAGTCACTTTCCTTCTTCAGGGTTGAGCTGGGATCCTTGGCAGGCTGACTCTCGGAAAAGCAGCCTTCCCAATTCCAGGAGGAGTGTCCAGGGCTGGGCTCTGCCAAGCTAAGAGCAGCCTCTAGAGGGCCGGACCCAGGGCCCTACGCCAGAGTGACTAAGGACTCCTCCGGGCTCAGCTTCCGTGACCACCGACTTGAAGCCCTCCAGATGTCCTAGAGCGGCGCCCCGGAGGTGGGGGGCAGGGAGCAGCTGCTTCCGGGGGCTCAGGACTGGGGGCAGGGACGGACACTCCCGGAGGGTGTACCTCCCGGCGCAAGCAGAGCGCGCAGCCAGTTTGGAGCCTTCGGGCTCCAGCTCTGGGAAGAATGTGAGGCGCTCAGAAAGACGGGCCAGGGAAGGGCTGGGGCGGTGCTCGCGGTCTCGGGAGCCCGGGAGGGGGGCTAGACTAGCTCTAGGCAGTCCGAAGGTTCCTTAGCAGATGGATGGTTTAGCCAGTATTTTCACCCTCCTTTTGTCTTTTTTAACCCCTCCCAGCAGTGGGAGTAAAACTCCTTGTCTCCGCCTCTGCCACGGAGCTACATTCCCAGCTGTTTTTACTTTCTGGATGCTACTGTTTGCAGCACAGAAGTTCTTGATATTGATGTAAATTGTACATATTGTGTACATACTTATTATAGCTTATGTAATGTACACAATTATGTTAAAAGTACGTATGTTATGAGTGGTCTGAAATGGAGAAATCTAGCCCATCAACGTGCATGATCTCACTGTGAGGTGAGAACACCCTAACATCCATTCTGGCAGTTTTTTTTTTTTTTTTTAATATTTATTTTTTTTTAGTTTTCGGGGGTGACAACATCTTTGTTTGTATGTGGTGCTAAGGATCAACCCAGGCCGCACGCATGCCAGGCGAGCGCGCTACCGCTTGAGCCACATCCCCAGCCCCATTCTGGCAGTTTTTAAGAACACAATACATTGTTAACAGTAGTCACCAGGTTGTACAACAGACCTCTCCAGTTTTCCTCCTAACTGGAACTTTGTATCCTTTTACTAATTTCTTCCTAAACCTTTTAGTTTGAACTAATTTCAAATTTATAGAACAGTTGTAATAAAGCAGAAAATTCTCAAATAACTATTCAGATTCACCAGTTTTTTTTTTCTTTTTTTTTCTTGGAGGGGTTACTGTAAGATCCTTACATTGATGCCCAAACCTGGGACGGGGGATCTCCCTGTCACCCAAGGCAGAACCGGCTCCCAAACTCTGAGCCCAACTGTTCCTGTCGTAGTCCACTCCTCTGATCACCTGCCTGACATCCACCACTGACTCGCGGATCGGTGAGTTCCCCCATCCCATGAGCGCCTGAACCCTAACTCACCAGAATGAGGGAATTGACCGTTGAGTGTCCGGCAATCCCTCCGGGAGTTTTAGGGGTAAATGCACCCCACTCAGACCCGTCTCTCTATCAAAGGGTAATAAGGCCCACTGCCCACCAGTCTCAAGGCATCACTTTTATGTGGGACAACTGTATACCGCTGTCTGCCCCCTGACTGGAAACATGCACATGTATTCTTGTTCTCCTGTTTCCCTATAAAGACAGTTCCAGGAGATACAGAAATACCAATCCCTCTCATGACACACATAAGACCCAAAAGGGCGATCCAATTCATACCTCTCCTCACTACTTTAGGAATTACAGCAGGCTTGCCAATGGGTACAGCAGGTTTGACTACCTCCCTCACATACTATAATCAATTGTCCAAATCATTCATAGATGACCTCCAACAGGTGATTGAGCCCATACTTACCCTCCAAAATCAATTAGATTTCTTTGCAGCAGTAGTCCTACAAAACCACCAAGGCTTAGATCTACTCACAGTGGAAAAAGGAGGCCTCTGCCCATTCTTACAGAAAGAATGTTGTTTTATGTTAATCAGTCAGGGATAGTGAAAGATAAGATTAAAAAACTACAGGAACAACTAGAAAAAAGAAGGCTGCAATTGGTACAACAATCCTATTGGGACCTCTTCACAAACCCCTTATCTGCTGGAGTCTCCCGATGCTAGGACCTCTAGTTGGGGTCTTTTTATTCTGTGTCTTCCTTCTTTGCATTTTAAATTCCTTCAAGGACAAATTAACAAAATCTCTAACCAAACTTTCAATCAGTTCCTCCTCAGGGATTACCAGCTACTTGCCAATGAGCTGGACAACACTTATGTCTACTCATACTGAAAAGCCTCCACCAAGTGCTGAAAGACGAAGATACCAAATGACAACTCCACCGAAGGGCCATCTCTACCCCACCATTCCAAAGAAATAAGCCCTTGGTTTTTAGCCATATATGTTCTAACCTGCCTTCTCCTGAGCATAGGTCTTTTTATCTACCAGCCCTGGATGACATGGATGACATGCCAGAAATTAATGCTGTCTCTTTTGTTCCTTTTCGTAGCTGCAGATTTGTGGCTTGCACTGTACCTCTGATCCTCCTCTTAATGAAGATGACACCTGTTACCCTCCGATGCATGCAATTCTTACAAGCCCTAGGGGAAGATAGTTGGCTTATCTCTCCCCCTGGGCCACCCCAATGAATGGCTCATTATATCCAACAATTTGTGGTTGCAGGGCACGTTCATGGACTTCTCCCCGGAGGAAATCCATGCTTTCAGCACATGGATGTGGGGCCTCCTGGCCCTCCTTCTCCAACCAACTGACCTCCCTCCCTCTAAACAACACCCCTACTCAGCAGGAAGAAGCCAGAACTAGTATGATGCCCCCAAACCAAAACAAAAAAGGGAGGAATGTTGGTAAAGATGGCGCCCGAAGTGCATCTCTTCCGGGAGTTCAGGTCCATGATGCACTGAATGGCGTGAACTACCACCTAAGTGGCACAAACCATCACCTCCAATCCCTGAAATGGCGCAAACTGTGACCTCCCACCCCTAGGAGACTAATACCCTGTCCTGCCCAGAAATGGACCCTTGGTCAATAAAGAAGTAACAGCCAACTCCCCATGCTCATTCTCTCTCTCCCCCACTTCTTCTCTTCTGTGACCGGCTGCTACGGTCCCACTAATAAAATCTTGGACAGGTAAATGGTTGTTTGGCTTGTTAAATTTACGGAGCTTTCCTGCCGCTCCTTACAGTTACCAGGGGTACTTAACCACTGAGCCACATCCCCAGCCCTTTTTACTTTGAGACATGGTCTCTAAATTGCTGAGGCTGACCTTGAACTTGTGATCTCCTGCCTCAGCCTCCTGAGATCCTGGGATTACGGGCTGTGCCACTGCACTGAGCCAGATTCAGTAATTCTTCATTTTTGCTATATTTATAATTTCTCTTTTTTCCTTCCTGTGTGCCTTCTCTTCCCTGCTTTTCTTCTTTTTGGTGGTGGTGGTCAGGGGAGCATTTTTTTTTTTTTCCTGTAGTGCTGGGGATTGAACCCAGGGCGTTGTGCATGCAAGACAAGCACTCTACCAACTGAGCTATGTCCCCAGCCCTATTGTTTTAAAAGATCTGATTCTAGATGTTTTTAATCACTCCACATGCTTGTTTGATGTTCCCGTTGAACTCTGGTCACCTTGGCCTCCCAGCTCCATCTTCTTGAGTCAATTCTGTCAGGTGCCTCCTGGTGCCAGTGGGTGGAGTTTTTTCTAGCTTCACCTTGATACAGCAGGGATAGCTCTTTGGGGCTGCAGCTTCCACTGCCACCCTAGAATCACCCCAACTTCATCATCTCTGCAGAGGCTGTAAGCAGACCTCACAGCTGCCAAAGCACCAGTTTCCAGGCGTGGCACTCTTGAGTTTCTTTATTTTTTGGTTATACATGATTGTAGAATGTATTGTGACATACAATACATACATGGGAGTATAACTTCCCATTCTTGTGGTTATACACAGAGTTTCTTTTGTCCTCATTTTTAACCATGGGGGTGTCCCCTCACTGTCTGGATGCTCAGCCAACCTGCTGTGGATCCTGCTAACATCTTAGTTTCAGGGTCTATAGTAAATAAAGGCCAAATTAGGCCAGCCCTGCCAAAATCTTCCCTCCCCCACAAACATGGTATGTTTGGGCATTTTGAGAGGGACCTCACTGTGGGCTCTCCAGTAGGTGAGGAAGGAGATTTTTGTTTGTTTGTTTTTTACAGTATTGGAGATTGAACCTACCACTGAACTACTTCCCCAGCCCTTTTTATCTGTTTTTTATTTTGAGACAAGGTCTTCCTAAGTTATCCAGGCTGGCCTCTTGCCTCAGCCTCTCAAGCTGCTGAAATTATAGATGTGCACTCTATGTCCAGCAATAAATTATTTAACCCAGCATATTCCTGAACAGAACAAGGCTGAGTGCTGTGTAGTGTTTCCTTTTCTCCCTCCCTCCCTCTCTCTTCCTTCCCAAAACATCCTAGACACGTATTCTGCATCATTTGCTAGAGAGAAAAGGTGTAAGAGTGGCACATGCCTGTGATCCCACTATTCAGGGATCACAGGCTGAGGTAGGAGGATATAAGTTCAAGGCTAGGCTGGGTAATTTAGCAAGACCCTGTCTCAAAAAAAAAAAAAAAAAAAAAAGAGCCAGGTGTGGTGGTGCATGCCTGTAATCCCAGCAGCTTGGGAGGCTGAGGGAGGAGGATCATGAGTTCAAAGCCAGCTTCAGCAACTTAGTGAGGCACTAAGCAACTCAGTGAAACCCTGTCTGTAAATAAAAAAATACAAAATTGGGCTGGAGATGTGGTTCAGTGGTTGAGTGTCCCTGAGTTCAATCCCTAGTATTAAACATAAAAAAGGGCTGGAAATGTAGCTCTGTGGTAGAGTGTTTGCCTAGCACGGGTGAGGCCCTGGGTTCAATCTCAATACCAAACAAACAAAAAACCCTCACAGAATAATAAAGGGCATATGACAGACTCTGGCTACAAAGAGCTCCCAGCATAATGTAGAAGTAGGTAGAAAAAGTGAAACAAGATGGTTGCTATGGTGATGCAGAATACAAGAGTGGAAGCTACTCCTTAGATCAGATGCTGTGCCGGAGGTCAGAAAGAGATCATAGTCCTTCAGATAAGCCACTGCCACCTCCATGATTTGCAGATCCTTCCACTGGGACTACATCCAGAAGAGGTTCTGGCTTTAAGAAATTTATAGCATGAGACATAAAACAAGTTAGGGGGAATAAGTGGAGCAAACCACAGAAACAGTGTCAAACCAAACACAAACATGACCCCAAGTTCCCTAAGAAAACACTAAGGGGCTGAGTATGTGGCTCAATAGCACATCCTAACAAGTGCAGGGCCCTGGGTTCATCCCCAGCACTGAAATACAAAACAACACAGTAAGAGCAGAGGCATTAAGGAAGGGATTTTGAAAGGTGATCTGATGGTGCTGGGGATGGAACCCAGGGCTTCATATATGACAGGCAAATCCTCTACCACATAGCTGTATCCTGGTCCCAAAGGGTGATGTCCCACTGGGCATGGAGGGAATTAAGTAGAGGATAGAAAAGATTCTTCCTACAGACTCAGAATGGAAATCAAGGTTTCAAGGGCCCTCATGCCCTTAGACTCTCAGTGAAACTCTTTCTTAAAAAGTTAAGATTACTAGTGACCCAGCAATGCAAATGAGACATTTAAAAGAACTGAAAGGTTAGGTTCACAAAACAGATTATAGTTACGTGTTTATAGGTACTTTATTCTTATATACTATAAATGGGAACACTCAAGAATCCCTTAATGGAGGAATGGTTGAACAGCTCCATCCATATATCCATAACATGGAATGCTGCTGGGCAGTAAAAAGAATGAACTACAGATACATGCAACAACATGGGTGACTCTCCAATATATTCAGTAAAAAACACCAGATTGAAATGGCTCCACAGGATGAGATTCTGGGAATGGTGAAGCCATGGCAACAGAAAACAAAGCAGGGTATGCAGGGGTTAGGGCTTCCCGTTTGGGCATGGAGAGCTGTGGGTGCTGAGGCAGGTTGTATGCTTGATTGTGGCGACTGCACACCATGTGACTCTGAAACCCACAGAGCTGTATGCTAAAGAGTGAATCTTATTGTATGTAAACTGTACTCAAGAAGGTTGGCCTTTGGGGTTGGGGTGTAGCTCAGTGGTAGGTCACTTGCCTATATGCACAAGGCCCTGGGCTCTATCCCTAGCACTTCAAAACACGCAAACAAACAAAGAAAAACAAAAATAACAACAAGCCTGGTTGTTTCTTGGTGTGTCTTAACTGCAGTTATTTCCTCTCCTATTTTCTTCGAGCATTGTGAGGATTTTCTTTCCTTTTTGCAGCTCTTGAGAATGGGGCTTCATGGCAGCTTGGCCTCATTGGCCCCGAGGCCTCTGCTCAATTGCAGATCTCAGAACTGAAAACACATCAATCTTCACTCTACAAGTGCCCAAACTGGGCTCCAAGGGAGGAAGGACACCCTGCCTGCAGGCTGGTAAGGGAAGGCTCACCCTGCCCAGCGGTACTGGAACTGGGTATTCCCAATAACAAGCTGAGCTCAGGCAGGAGGGAGACACAAGGTAGTGACACCTTGGGGCTGGAGCCAGTGGCTCACTATTGGTGCTCCCCCTCCTCTCAGTGTCTGAAGGTAGTGCGACAGGGGTCACCCTGAGCACAACAATAACCTCTATACAACAGTATTTTCCAGACTGAATTCTCTCATGTTTACTTTCAAATTTAATGACTTTAATAGTCATCCAACCTGTTTATTTTGATTTGCTGGTAATATGTAAACCCTCTTATTTAACTTTCATTTTGCTAGCCTATCCAACGTAAAATGAACAATTGCTAAACTGTTTCCTAATTTTATAACTTAAAAATGTCTTTCTTGGAAAATCTTTTTGATATGAATAAAATATCTTTCAGAGCCATCATTTAGAGGGGGCTTCTCTCCAACATGAGCTACCTGATGTTGAGTAAGGTCTGAACCCTCGCTGACAGCCTTTCCACATTCTTGACATTTATATGGTTTCTCCCCAGCGTGGCGGCTTCTCTGGTACTCAACGGGTTGTGGGGTAGGGCTGAAAGTCTTCCCACATTCACTGCACCCCAGGGATTTCTCACCAGTGTGGATTGTCCAGTGCAGAATGAGGTCTGCACCATGGCTGAAGGCTCTGCCACGTCGCTCTCCAGTGGGCATCAGGCTGGGGCCACCCTTTCTACGCTGGCGAGGATTATCTCCCGTGTGAATGTGCTGATGCTGTGTGAGGGTTGACCTCCGGCTAAAGGCCTTCCCACAGGCCCGGCACTCGTAGGGCTTCTCGCCAGTGTGGACACGCTGGTGCAGGGTGAGTTGGGAGCTCTGGCTGAAGGCTTTCCCACACTCAGAGCACTGATATGGCTTCTCCCCTGTGTGCACTCTGCGATGCTGCACCAGAGTGGAACTCCGGCTGAAGGCCCTGCCACACTCACCACACACATAAGGCTTCTCTCCAGTGTGAATCCGTGTATGTTCAGTAAGGTGAGAATTGAAACCAAAGGCCCGGCCACACTCCTGGCACACGTAGGGCTTTTCTCCAGTGTGGACCCTATGATGGAGGAAAAGGCTGGAGCTCTGGCTGAAGGCCTTGCCACACTGACTGCACTTGTGGGGCTTCTCCCCAGTGTGGATCCTCTGGTGCTGAATGAGGCTGGAGCTCCGGCTGAAGGCCTTGCCACACTGACTGCACTTGTGCGGCTTCTCCCCAGTGTGGATCCTCTGGTGCTGAGTTAACTGGGGGCTCTGGCTGAAGGCTTTGCCGCACTCCTCACACTTGTGAGGCTTCTCTCCTGTGTGAATGACGCGATGCTGAATGAGGCTGGAGCTTCGACTGAAGGCTTTCCCACATTCACTGCACCCAAAGGGTCTTTCTCCAGTGTGAATTCTCCGATGCAGAATGAGGTAGGAATTGAGCCCAAAAGTCTTCCCACATTCTTCACATTTAAACGGTTTGCTGCCAGTGTGGACTCGGCGGTGCAGGATGAGGCTCGCGCTGTGTGTGAAGGCTCGCCCACACCAACTGCACTCATAGGGCTTTTCCCCTGTGTGGCGCCTATGATGTCGACGGAGGTCTGAATTATATTTGAAGGTTTTGCTGCATATATCACATTTAAAGACTCTCTCTCCTGTTTTATTCCTTTGAAGTCTAACAACATTTTGGTTTGGATTTAAATGTCTATCAACATTTAAAGAACACTCCTGGACACTCTCTCTTGGAGGCTGCTCCCTACATAGGACAGATTCCTCTCTAAAAACTCTCTTGTGCAGATGGGGTTTCTTCAGACTCTGGCCAGCAGTGTTTCCCAGGCTCCCTTTTCCCTTCCCCTCCAGGTCCCAAGGATCCTGGAACACAGGTGTCTGTGAATTGGCCCTTGAGAATCTTCTTGATACAAATGCTGGGCTCTTCACATCTTCAGAACACTCCTGGTTTAAAATGGACAGTTCCTTCTCAGTCCCAGTATCAGAATCTGTTACACAAAACATAAAGGAATTACTAGAGGACACCACTGTTCAGCAACACTCTTACACAGATCCTTACTTGGAAGGCAGATGTTCCAGTAGCAGATGTGCTATGCATGACTCAGGAGCGCAAGAGGCAAAATGGCCAGTCACAGGATGAAAGCTCAGTCCACCAGGTACCACAGGAGGGAAACTCAAGCAAATTATGATTTTTTCACCTATCAAACTAGCAAATGAATCTGCCAACAGGCTGCTCCAGGTAAGGAACACAATAGGAAGCCAGAGAGCCTCTGGTCTCAGGAAGCTCACTGTATATTGAGGAAGAAAATCAAATACTTTTTTTTTTTTTTTTAAATGAAATAACACAGAGGCTGGGATTGTGGCTCAGCGGTAGAACGCTCACCTAGCACTTGCGAGGCCCTGGGTGCGGTCCTCAGCACCACATAAAAATAAATAAAATAAAGGCATTTTGTTCAACTACACCTAAAAAAAATAATATTAAAAAAATGAAATAACACGGATAATGGAAACTATTGAAAATACAGAACCATCTCCTGCAGCCTATGTGGTCAGAAGATCCCAGGAGCATGCGTGGCTTCAGAGGGAGCAAGAGCCAATGGGTCAGCAGTTGCAGAAGGCAGGCCTGGGTGAGATGGAGAACCACCAAGTCCAGGAATGCAAGGAGCCTGCCACGGCTAGAGCAAGAAGGCGGGTGGAGGTTGCTGTGCTGCGTTGATTCCCACACAGAGAAGTAAAGGAATAATTCCTGTCCTGTACTGTGGGATGGACTATAAATAAATAGAGCTTTTTAAAGGGAAAGTTGGTAACACATAGCAAAAGAATTAATATTACACACCTTTGTTCCCAAAATTGTTCTTCAAGAGTCTATGCTAAGTCAACTGTCATTTGCACAAAGAAATGATTATTATGACCATCCCTGAAATGTTCTCCCTAATTATGGGGAAACAAGAAAGAATTCAAATATTCAAAAAACAGAGGACAGGGCTGGGTGTGGCACAGTGATAGAGCACTTGCCTGGCATGCAGGAGGCCCTAGGTTTATCTCCAGCACTGCAGAAAAAAAGAAAGAAAAAAAAAGAGTATTGTTTAAGTCAGCGATAGACAAGTCATATAATGGAATACCTTTCTGACATTATAATTATATAATAGAATATATAGTTAAAGGAAAAGTCTATGACATAAACTGAAAAATCAGTTTCTAAAATAATACACACAGCATAAACCAACTTTAACTGAAAATACATATGGAAGATAAGTGCTATTTCTTCCTTAAATGTTTGGTATAAGCTGGCGAAACCATCTGGGCTTGGCATTTTCTCTGAGATAGGAATTTTATTTACTGAACCAATTTCTTTAATACTTAAAAGATCATGTATTAATGCTTTCTTGTGTCAACCTTGACAAATTGTGTTTTCTGGGCAAACTGTGTTTTATCTCCATATTAAAACTTCTTGGCATTAAACGTGTTCAGATGCCTTTTTATTACAGCCTGTGGATCTGTATTGTGGCCCCTTTTTATTTTGGTCATCTGTCCCTTCTTTTGTTCTTGATCAGTTATGACCAGAAAATCATAATACATTGCTATTGAGTGAAATAAAGACCTGGGCAAGTGAATAGATATGGTATACTTATGGACTAGAATATTTAGATTACAAAGATATCCACTTCTCTTGAAATTGATTCAATGCAACCTCAATCAAAATCACAATTTTCTCATTTCACAAAGTGATTCTAAAAGTAAATGCCAAGGGTCATCACTGAGGCAGACGGTGAGGTGGGAACACTCTTGCTGTTGGATATAAAGACATAACTTTTTGTTATCATTGTTGTCTGCAACACTGGGGTAAAAGGCAGGGCCTCCTATATGCTAGGCAGGTGCTCTACCATAACACCCTCCCAAGGCTTAAAAATCTACCGTGTTGCAGATTGCAAGTAAAGACAAATAGAGAACGGGAAAGAAAATTTCTAGATAGGGGTTTTTGCACACATGCATGTTATCTATGTGTGTACCTGAGAAGGTATCTACTCTTCTCACTTCAATGAGCAGGAGTCTCTCCATCTCCTTCTGGGCACCAGGGGGCAGATCAAGGTCTTGGGTTCCTCCCCCTGACTGGACTATGCTGAGGGCCCACTTTCTCCCACAGAGGACCAATTATGGCTAGCTGGAGCTGGAACCTACACGTTTATCCACTTTAAGCCAAACTTCTCTCTTCTTAAAATAGCTAATAGCTAGCTAGCTTCTTTCTTTTTTTCCTTCCTTCCTTCTGTTCTGGGGATGGAATCCAGGGTCTCACACATGATAGGCAAGTGTTCTGTCTCACCCCTTTTTAAAATTTTTATGTAAGATTTGTGTGTGTGTGTGTGTGTGCACGTGCACTGAAGATTGAAACCAGGATTGCTCTACCACCAAGCTACATTCCCAGCCATTTTTCATTTTTGAGATACCGTCTTGCTAAGCTGTCCAGGATGACCTTGAATTAGTGATCCTTCAGTTTCAGTCTCCTGAGAGTAATTACTGAGATTACAAGTGTGCGCCACCACACTCCTTAGACTTGAAGTTTTTTGTTTTTTTTAAATAAAATAATAGAATACATACAGCATGAGAAAATTTATACTTCTCTGTTTGGAAATCTCATTACTTAAAATACCATATTAAAATAAAGAAAATCTCTTGGAAATCTAAGTATATTTAAAAATGGTTGCTTTTTTCCTAAAAATTCAAGCTAATGGCATTGTTACTAGGTACATATATATGAAAAACAGATATAGTACATTTAAATCTATAAGAATCAGACTGGATTTTTTTTTTTTTTTTAGGTACCAGGGATTGAACCCTAAGTCCATTAACCACTGAGCCACATCTATGGCCCATTTAATTTATTTTTTATTTGAAATAGGGTCTCAATAAGTTGCTTAGGCCTCACTAAATTGCTGAGGCTGGCTTTGAACTTGTGATTCTCTTGCCTCAGCCTCTGGAGCAGCTGGGATTACAGGTGTGCATACCTGCACCCAACAAAATTGTGTATATTTCTTAAACTGGGTTTAATAATAAAGCAACTCCTATCTAAATAGGGGTTCAGTGCACTAACATGAACTGTGAACATGGGCCATTACTAAAATGGGATAAAATCGTTTAAAAAAAAATGTACTCTTAAGCCAGGCACAGTAGTGCATGCCTGTAATCCAGCGGCTCAGGAGGCTGAGAATCAAAGCCAGCCTCAGCAACGATGAGGTGCTTAACAGCTCAGTAAGACCCTAAATAAGATACAAAATAGGGCTGTGGATGTGGCTCAGTGGTCAAGTGCCCCTGAGTTAAATCCCGGTTACCGCCCCCCAACCCAAAATGTACTATTATAGAGGAATCCAAACAATATTGCAAAATTCTGTAGACATAAACTTTGTCTATGTCATCTTTTTGAGGGCAACTTGAAGGTTGATATTATTAAAAAAATTTTTTTTTTTTCAGTACTGAGGATTGATCCCAGGGGTGCTTTACCACTGACTACATTTTCAGGCCATTTTATTTTGGACAGGCTCTTGCTAAATGCCCAGGCAGGCCTCAAATCCAGTCCTCCTGCCCCTGACTCCTGAACCGCAGGGATTAGGGGTATCCATTACTGCAAAAGGCTTCCAAATGATATTTATTTATTTATGTGTGTTCGCACACGTGTGTGTGTGTGTGTGTATAATATATATATATATATATATATATATATATATATTTTTTTTTTTTTTTTTTTGGTGGTGCTGGGGATTGGACCCAGGGCACTGTGCATGCAAGCGAAGCACTCTACCAACTGAGTTATATCCCCAGCCCCCAAATGATTTTTAATATATGTTATAGCTAGGATCTGGAATGCCCACCAAAGGCCCATGTTGAAGTTAACCCCCAGATAGTGGTGCTATTGGCAGGGGGTTGAACCCTTACACAGAGGGACCTGGTGGGAGGCGGCAAGGGCTTTAGGGATCTGGCCCTTCCTCTTTATGTTCCAGCTGCCAAAACTGCTCAAGACTTCTCTGCCACACACTTCCGCCTTAATGTGCTGTGCTGCCACAGGCCAAGGCAGCAGGGTCAGATAATGGTGAGTCAATAAATCTTTCCTCCGTTTAAGTTGATTTTGTCACAGAGACATAATGCTAACACAACTTCTCACTGTATCTTGCTAGCAATGCAGGTTTGTTTTTTGTCATTCTTAAATGATTCAAGGGTCTTCAGGTTATTTCAAAATAGATAATATTTATGCTCCTATTTATGTAAAGGCTTTAAAAATTAGAGCTGATGGGCTGAGGTTGTGGCTCAGCGGTAGAGCACTTGCCTCACATGTGTGAAGCACTGGGTTCAGTTTTCAGCACGGGACATAAATATGAATAAAATAAAGGTCCATCAACAGCTAAAAAATTTGTTTAAAAATTAAAGCTCATCTCTAAAGTTCCCCATTATGAATATTAATTAGAATAACTACATGCCCTCTTCTCTGAAGGTGAGGCAATTACTCCTCAAACCGTACCAGTCCTCATCATGCTCCTTGGAAGATGGAAACCAATGAAAACCATCTTTTCCCTTCTAAGACCTCACTCACAACCCACCCAAGAGACTCAGGCACCAGTGCCTGTCCAGGGCCATCCCATCTGAGAAACTGCTAGCCCTGACAACCCTGCAGCATGGACTCCAGCAAGTGATACCACCCAGAAATGCACGCCGGGTCCCAGGGGACAGAGCCACCACTGAGCTGCAGTGTGTTGAGGACAAGGGCACCAACAGGCCAAAACAGTCCTAAAAGATGGTCTTCTTTGCACAAAGGGGTCTGTGACGTCTATCCCTGGGACAGATACCACAGCTAGGGTTCACTCAGTGGGCCCAGGAAGCTCTAACCACACAAAACTGCTTGCAAAATTAGCATGGCCAGGGCTGCAGATGTGGCTCAAGCGGTAGCGCGCTCGCCTGGCATGCGTGCGGCCCGGGTTCGATCCTCAGCACCACATACAAACAAAGATGTTGTGTCCGCCAAATACTAAAAAATAAATATTAAAAAAAAAATTCTCTCTCAAAAAAAAAAAAAATCTTCTAAAAAAAAATTTAGCATGGCCAAGGGAAATGCCAGTAGCATCCAGATGGTGGAGGGATGTGCTCACTACATAAAATCCTTAACAAGATGCTGGAGGAAAGCATTACCCATAAATTTTAGATAACCCAGAATCGTGACTGATAGCTCACTGTGAGAGGAAAAACCTGGCAAACTGGCATTAGTCTGAATGCTAGGTGTCAGGCCCCCAAAGCATATGATACTAGGTAACCTAGTAACAACTTGCTTGCGTGTAACTGTTAATAGAATGCTACTTAAAACCCATCAAAAAAGAGACACAAGGTGGAGAATTGAGATTTTATTTGCTCATAGGCTCATTATCCTAATATATTGGGTAATAAATAACATGCAGATAAAAATAGATGAGGGCTAATGATATGGCTGGCAGTGGAGCACTTGCCTAGCATAGCATGCATGAGGCCCTGGGTTGAACCCCCAGCATTGCAAAGAAAAAAATATAAGATGAAAATAATTTAATATCATAGAACATTTGCAAATCCAGACAGCTTAGATGGCGCAGAAAGGGCGACATTTCTGTGCTGCTTCAGCTTTTTTTTTTTTTTTTTTTTGGCGGGGTGGTGGGGGGACCAGAGATTGAATTTAGGGGCACTCAGCCACTGAGCCACATCCCCAGCCCTATTTTGTATTTTAGAGACAGAGTCTCATTGAGTTGCTTAGTGCCTCACCATTGCTGAGGCTGGCTTTGAACTTGTGATCCTTCTGCCTCAGCCTCGTGAGCTGCTGGGATTACAGGCCTGTACCACCATGCCCAGAGTGCTTCAGTATTAATTCTGATTTTGATCTTGTGCTGGAGATTGAACCCAGGGACACCGTCACTAAACTATACCCCTATGCCTTTTTTGAGACAGGGTCTAAGTTGCCCAGGCTGGACTCAAACTTGCAATTCCCCTGCCTCAGCCTCCTTAGTCACTGGGTTTACAAGCATGTGCCACCATACCCAGCTCCATTCTTTTACTCACATGAGTTCCTTGATGCCGGCATAACACGTTTTTAGCTAATAGCCTGTATTGGTGAGCTTTGTGTTATTATAACAAAATACCTGAGGCAATTAACTTATAAAGATAGCATTTTTATTTAGCTCGTGGTTCTGGAGGTTCTAGTCCAAGATCAGGCAGACCTCTTGCTTTGGCCCTCTAGTGAGGGCACCAGACGGAAATGGCAGAAGTGTGTGGCAGAGCCAACTGCTTACACCAGGAGCAAGGAAGCAGAGAGTACTGGTAGGGTCCCACAAGCCCCCACCTCCCAACTGTGCTACCCAGGGCACCAAACTTTTGACACAAGGCTCTCTGGAGTACATGGATCCACCGTAGCCCTGTCCAACCCAAGCTCTCCAACTACTCCCTCTGATTCGTGGGGT